TTTTTTTTTTTTTTTTTTTTTTTTTTTTTTTTTTTTTTTTTTTTTTTTTTTTGCTAGTTCAAACATTTCTTCAATGAAAACTTTAGTAAAGAAGTTGTAAGATAACAAGCATAATTCTAAAAGAATAAAAGGGTTATCATACAAAGACTAAAATTATCCCCAAAAAAGCAAGGATAAAAGATATCAGAACACCTCACCTTGTTGATACTAAGCCACTTGCTCCCGCAACTGGTATGGTATTTGTGTTTGCACGGTAGAGTGATCCTTTGATCTCCATGTTTGTAATTCATTTGGCATATTACGCACCTATGTACAAATCAAGACTGATGTAGTCAGATGTATCTTGTTAAAAAATATTTTCAAATGCAAGATACATATTTTGGGTGTGATTGATTATGACTCGAGTTTTTTGGGTGAAAAGGGTTCAAAAGCTTTTTGGGAGTATTCTCTTAGCTTTTTTAGCAAGACTTGTACACCCCTTGGATCGAATGATCATTGTATTCTTCGTTATCAAATAAATGGTGCTGGTGTGAATAGCAGACGTAGGCTACTCAGCCAAACCACTCTGAAGAAAGTTCATATGACATAATTATAGATGAACCTTAGCATTATTAATGAGCATGAAAATATTAGAATTCATGGACATCATTATTGAGCAATATATATAAGGATATTGGTAAGTATTACTACATATGGAGGCTTTCTTCTTCATGGGTGCATATCACCATAGATCTATGTAACAGCCCACAGCTTCCTAGGACAATGGTACATGCAATCTTAATTTTTATAACGTCCTTAACGGGCATAAATATCAAACATCTTACAGAAAACTCAATTGACTCAGTAAGAACATATGTAATTACCAATTTCAGACATCTTTTAATTTAGTTAGCTAATGGCTAAATAGGACATCTGTCAGGTTAGCAAATAGCTAATTGCTCGTTCAACATATATCCAAAAGAACATGGAGAAACGCTTTACTAAAACAGTACGATAATAATTTTTTAGGAAATAAAAACAGTGAACTTTGTAGCATGCCCAAGGATATATAGTTAACCTAAACATTTAAAAGTGAACTGCAAGCATTGCAGAATTCAGATTCATCTTGGTAGATGGAACAATCCTCAAAATCAAAAGAAAAATAGAAAAGTTTGAAAATTCATATGGGATAAGATAATCAATAAATCTAGTGTTACCTTTCAGTGCGTGATTTCTTCCTTGAGAAAAACCAACACTTAAACTTTGATACTGGAAGCAATGCAATCAGTTCTTGCGAAAGACCTCTACTTTGACTTCCTACTGTCTCGCCTAAATCTACTAATTCCTGAAAGTAAGTTGCTTTAAACTGTCACTTTATTGAAGAGATCTACATAATTCAGGAGGCATACACTTGACTTCACAGATTACAGTTATCCAGACAGATTTTGCGTTTATTCAGCATACCCCCTTGATGATTTCAAAATGTATAAATTGGATCTACAGCTGGTTCGTTGCGCTCCAATCTAATAAACTTTAAATTCTTAAAAAGCAGCGTTAACAAGCAAATCCTTCCAAAGCAGCAAGCTTCTCTTTTATAAAACACAAGGCCCTCCAAGGAAGCAAGTTCAAGGATAAAAAAAAAAAAGAAAAAAAGCTAGAAGCGTATTGGCGGCCACCGTGCAGAATAAACAACTAAACCTATCTGAGTTACCATTTCTTGCGTTTCTACCTTAGGAAGAAAGCATATAAAACCAAGCCTATTCATATATAACAAATGGGCTACAAGTTTTTCCAATTTCTTGTGCACAGCAAGGACTTCTTAGCAATCATAGTAAGTTAATAACAGTTCAATTAGCAATATTTATATTATAAATAGGCAGTGAAGAACACTTAAACATGCAAATTTACAGGAGAAGAATCTTTGAGTGGGGATAAGCAAAAATAACAAGGAAAGAAAACTATCTGCCGCACTAACCTCATAGGTCATGTTATCAGGATCAATAATATCTTGCCAAATAGTCTGCATATTTCAAAGTGGAACTGATTAGGGAATGCATTTATTTAGAAGTCAGTTCCAGGTCTATTAGGCCTTGAATAAAAAGCTGGAACCAAAAGTAGTTCGGAAATCTGAACCACCAACTAGATTGTAGGCATTGGGTTAGAAATGAATTTCTACTCTATTCTCTACCTCGGCTTTCTTTCAGTAATTTCAGATGAGCCAATCTTACATCTTAGAAGAATAATTTTATTTTATGCAACAACACAAGCATGTGCGTGATTGCAATCATGCATACCCACAAAATACAAGGACACAAGCTAAAAGTGAGATAATTCATTAACAACCTTACAATAAAACTAAATCTGTAAACTTAATGGCATAACAACTTTGTGAATCAAAAGCTGCAGACCTGATACTCGTGATAATTTGAATGCCTCCGAGGGCCTGAAAAAGCAACGGAAGATACTTGAATTGGGAACTATTAATTAAAATTCCATAATAATTTTAATTGCATCATAAAGAGGTCAAGAGGCAAACAACCAAGAATGTTAAAAAAATGACAAAAACAGAGAAAAAATAATAGACAAAAAATCAATATAGAGTCATTAACCACAATCTTTGCAGCTGTAATTTTATAGAACATTTACATTCATTATCTGAATTGATGTTCAATTATTTTAATTTGGAAACTTCAAATTAACAAACAAATATGCTAGAGTATCATTTGAAAATTTGAAACAAATTAGATCTCAATTCTTACATTCCATGCTATTGCTGGCCATATCAGGATTCACATTTTCTTCCCGTGCTCTATTTCCTAAACTCTGTTCATCCGGGACTGGCGAGAATTCCTGCTGCATCCTATGTTCATCAATAGCGGACTCATGACCTTGTACCTCAAATGATGGAGTATCAAAGCAAGAAGCGCTCCAAGAATCAGCATGCTCAAACTTGTAATAACTTGAATTAGTTGCTGGACAAACAGTCTCCTGAATGAATGAATGAAAATATTATAATCCCATGTTAGGGAATTCATTGCATACATTTGGAATTATAAAAATTAGACATATTAAAGCAAGATGCATCAGTAATTAGAAGATGAAATGTAGATTGGTTTCCTTTTCTTCTTGATTGGTCAATTGTCAACAAATATTAAGAGGCGGGAAGCAATTTCAAAGAGATAGAGAGATTATCCAAAAAGAACAACCAACAATGCAAAGAACAGTAGAGATCGGGCACGATCTCATCATGGCAACAAGTAACGTCAAATAACTTGTTTTCAGTATAATGCTACAGAATGGCAGGCATAGATAAAACAGCATCTAAATGAGTTCATTCAATCTAGTTCACAGACAAGAGATCCAAGGAAGCCATCCAAAATCAAGAGATGTTTAGTACCTGAGAATGTGAGGGACCAGAAAAAATGAAATTCACATGATCATATGTGAGACCTTCAAAGTACTCCATAAAAGAAGCCGTGCTGTACGGATAACCATTAGTCATGCAATGAACCTCGATGTTTGAGTTCCAGCTCATTTTAGATAACTCTGTTTCAACAGGAATATTCTTCAGGCACAAGTAATATTGCATCAAAGGGAAAATATATCGGCAGTAACAAACCTAATCTTCCTGAAAGTTTTGCAAACCCATTCTTGACAAAACTTCATGCAATAAATTTATTCCTAATCCTCAGTAAAGTACCCGTCCTTGAGCCACACCTGCAAATAAGAAAATTAGAAATAAAATGAAGACAACGAGAAAAATAAAGCAATTACAATAGTAATTCTAGATCACAAGCGAAATAAAGTAGTGCATGCACTTCACCATTTGGTTAAGCTGTTAGAAAGCTCCAGGAGATAAATTTTATTTTCATTTACGGGTGCCAATCTATGAGAAACTATTTCTAAAGCTGATCCGAAATACAAAAAAGAGTCATATCTTCCACAATCATATTGTCATCTAAAATCGACATTTGATAGATGGCACCATTTGGTCAAGCTATCAGAAAGCTCCAGGAGAAAGAGAAAATCTAATGTGCTACAAGTCCTCGACCTCGAGTAGAGATACGCAGAAATTAAACAGTTGGTTCCTATCCGAGATTTAATCCATAAATTTAATCTCCGGCAATAAACAGTACAAAAGAAAAAAAAGAGGACTATTCCATTGTAGTAAGTAGTGCTCTGATTCAAACCTCCGTCCTCTCATTTCTCACTCGCAAGGCGGAGATTACACAGTTTCGGCGAGGAGGAGTGAGAGCAGATCAGTAATCAAACACAATTAAGAAAAGAGATGAAAGAAACCGATATAGAATGCATTGCAAGTGTCAGAGAACAATGAAGGAAAGAAAGAAAGAAAGTAAGAAACCAACAATGGCGGATTCTGCGCAGCGGTTGAGCAGTGCTACTTTCCTCTTCGTGCTTCTGATTTCTGTGCAGAATGTGGGAGTGAAAATGGAAAGCGATGAGAAACAAGATGGGCTGCCTATAACTGAAAACGCTCTCTCTCTCTAACACGCTGTCTGTCTTTGGAACCTTTAACCAAGGCATGTGCAATGACGTGGCTCAAAAGCCAACCTTCGAGTTGGTGCCTTTTTGATCAACTGCATTTGCACTTCACCACCCACTAATGTCTCTTTTACCATAATAATTACTTAAGACATTAATTACTTTATAATTTCTTATTTAAAGGTCGATAACTCAATAATTAAATAATATTATTATAATAATAAAATCATCCTAATTAATTAAAACATTATAGGTTCATATAAAAACTCAACTATTAAGTAATTATTATAATAAAAAAATCATCGTAATTAGTAAAACATTATAGGTTCATATAAAAAAAATCTTATTTAAAACAATCATTTTCATGGATTAAATAATTTTTAATTTTAAATCGCATAAAAATCCGAACATAATTAGTCAATAAAGCATTTGTTCCATCTCAAAGATGGATTGTTTGATCATCTACCAATGATCTATATATATAGATCTTGAAAGCAATTATTTATTTATTTATTTTTCTCCGAATACTAATTTTTAAAATCATTGAACAAAATGTTAAGAATGAGAAATAAAAATAGAATTGGGAAGGTGTGTATTCTCATTGATAGTGATATCCTTTGAATAAGATAGCAACTAATTAAATATTGAGGATAAAATATAATATACTATAAATCAAATCATTAAGAATATTAAGATATAATATCTAAGATATATTCCATAAATATTATATCTCAACTCATAACTCGTAATTCAGAAGGAAATTAACATTGGCAAGGAATTTGGTTGTTTTAACCACCAAAACCACTCTACCAAGTCTGAGAAGAGAGTAGGTGTGGAGGCTGACAATGTCTTGAATCTTTGCGGCTGCTTACCAAAGTTTGCATCTTTCGTTTAGAAATCAACAGAGAAATGAAATGGGTCGCATTAAATTCACCTCAAAGTTAAAGAAAACTCTATATTAAGTTCAACTTAACAGCGTGTTTCTCAGTACGGTGTGTAATGGAGGTCAAAAGATTACACTTGAAAACTCATTATTTGGGAACTTTTTTGGATGATCATCTCAGTAAAACCGCAGCTGACACTGTCAGAAAAGAGAGTTCATCCATTGCCATGATTTTGTCGTTCAATCATTTTCTGAAGGGCGCCCCCTCCCGCTGATAGCTATTAAAGTCTGCGATCTGTCAAAGAAATGGCCAAAAGTGAGAAAATATGAGTGGGAGAGAAGAATGAACAGAGCATGGAGCTAAGATACATGGCGTGCAAGGAAAGAAACAATTAATCATACTCTCCATTCTTGTGGTCTGTCTGCAAAAGTTACAACAATGGACACCATGTTCAGCCTATTATTGCCTACCCAACTCTCTGCAGAATATAGAACATGTTTCATAATAATAGTTTTACTTTTAATTCAAGATTCAATGGCTGCCGATAAGAAGAAATGTACAATGTTCTTTATTCTCATGCTCAATGTTATGTCTTCAAATCTGATCTCATTCAGGATCAAACAAAGAAGGGTACTAAATTGTATTCTCAAGCTCAATGTTATGTCTCAGTACAAGATTGTAATCGTCCTATACAGAAGAAGGTCGTTCAGGTGTACAGCCCTGAGTATTCTAAATATGTGGTGAACTAATATCAAACCAATAAAAGTTCAAACGAATTGGTCCATCAAAACTTGGTGGATATATGCATAGAACACAAGAATTCAAAAGAACGAGGAAGTCACATATGGCGTTGGGCGTTCAATTGCATAGAAGTTGGAGGCTGAACATTCATGAGAATGGTTCGATGAGTTACAATCAAGGTATGAAAAGAAAAAGAACACTGCACAAAAGGAAGAAACAAAAAAGACAGACAAGGACTAACATGTCCTTTGGTAGAATGCAGGCGAGTCGAAATTCTAAAGATGATGACAAAGATGCGCTCGAAGAACGAGGGAGGAAAAGAGAAGAAAAAGAAAAAGAATAACCAGCACACGTGTAGGCAGCCCTATATAATCCAAGGAAGATTTAATTCATCTCTAAACCTTGATGAATTGAGTTTATACAGTTTTGCAGCACGCACAGGAAAAGGGGCATAATGTTCTCGAGCATTTTCTTTATCAAGTGAAGGATTATAGGGGATAATCAAGGTAGAGGAGCAAGGAACGTTCACTTTCTCCAATTTTAAAAGCAAAAAACATGGAGAGCCAAAATGCAGAAAATCGACAAAACAACAAATTTGTACTAAAACTTACCATTGATTACCTCCAAAACTGAGAATCTGAGATGATCCACGAATGGAATAAGAGCTTCAACATTGTTCGTCAGAACAAGTAGTTCTACCAGACTGGCATGTTAACATAAATCCATAGAATCCCACAAATTCTAAGTCTATATCCTTCAGAAAGAGATGGGTGTACTTCAAGAAGGAAAAAAACAGAAACGATTGGAAACTGAACCAATTAACATTAATCATTGAACTTTACAGCAGAAAGTTCCAAGGACCAAAAAGAAGAAAAGGCCCATCCTAAAATGAAATAAAAGTATAAACATGCTTACAAGGTTAGCATGATAACAAACATTTGGCTTAAAAGGATTTGTTCGCATCATAAAAATCCCGTGCAACACAACTCTGAAACATGGATGGCTTTTTCGGTTTTTCGTGTGCTTTCAATGGATACCCAAATCAATTTGATCTCACCCTTGAATTCTATCAATGCCAAGGGTTGGCCCGAAGGATGAATCAGACCTTTTAAATTCCAGTTCCATTTCCTTCTGCTTCAGTTGCAGTACTCTCCGCTCATTATCTATTTTCATCCTCTCATTTTCAAGTCTCATTCTCTCCAAATCCCTACTCTTCTTACTGCAATATCTTAACCATTTGAAACGTTGTTTCTCAAGTTCAAAAGATTGAGCCTGGAAACTTACACATTGCTCCTGAAGTTGTAGCATCTGTTTTTTAATCCAATCTCTGCGCTCCCATTGGGGCTTTGTTGGATCCGAAAGAAAAACATCAATTTGACCTTCAAATTCATTTTGTGCAGAAGTAATTGACCAAAGAGGACCATCATCTGCACTCGCTTTATCCCTGCCACGAGATTCAGCCGGCCATAATCTATTTTCTTCGGGATAATGATCATCCTCATTATCTGATTCATCACTGTCACTATCACTGTCATCAGCCTCTTCTGACTCATTATTTCCTTTCGAGAAATTAACAACAGGCAAAATCTTACCTTGGAAATCAACATCCTGGCAACCAGGAATTGTTTGTCCATTATGGTAAGCACACATTTCCTTATAAAATAAGTGTTTTGAGCTTAATATTTTTCTTACATCATCCTTGACTTTACTTGAGAGGTGAGGCATTGAATCCATGAGTGCAGGGTTCTCCACAACTCTACAACTGGTTCCCCTGCCAAGAATATCGTTCAATCTCTTGTATCTTTTGTTTAAGTCGTTAAATTTGTCCTCACACTGCTGGGGAGAAACATGACACCCCTTACTTATCATAATCTTCGACACCATTTTCCATTTTCCCTTCTTTTGTAGAATACCAGATTTTCTCTTCGAGCCCATTCCAGCCTCACCGTCATCACCCACACAAGCAACCACTGCTATGAGAAGCCTCACAATGTCATCTGTCCACTTCATTCTCTGCCATGGAGAGCCCTTTTTGCCCTTCAAAAATTCAGTGCACTCGCCATCCTCAGTAAAACTAGGCTCATCTTCTTCACTCGTGTTACTGTTGTTTGTGACGCCACCAGAGGCAATTGCTTTCCCTTTAGTGAAAGTCATCGATAGATCTTTGTGTCCCAATCTTTTTGTGTCCATAATCCCAACGGACTGGTGATCACCTTCCAAAGTATTCATCATCTTCAAGTGATGTCTGTGTGTCAATGAGGTATTGATCAACTGGGTCTGTTGATGCCTTCGAATTGGAGACTCCAGATCTAATAACCCCCCATTACCAGACAGAAATCCGCCTCCCAGACCAGAACTATCCATTTTCGAGCCTCTAAAGCGTAGAAACCCTCAATTTTGTTGTAGCAGATAAATGAAAACTGAGACTCGACTCGCAGGTACAAATAGGAACGCTACTACATTAAACTTGATCAAATCCAAATCCTTCTCAGTAAGTTACAAATTAAGCAACAAAGACTACCACTGATCCAGTATAAACGAAAAGCCAATTTCCATATTCTTTCATTGTACTCCACTTTCTTAATCCACAAATAAAGTGCATCTCGAGAATCTCGGAAAATCCCATGGCGGATTACACTAAACTAAACCTAATAAAAAAAACCTAGAAAGACAGCCTTTGCGTCGGATATATGAAAAAGATCCTTACAACCAGGTCAACTATTCGGAATTGCTGGAAGAAACAAAATTTGCAGCTTCGACTATGGTAATGAAACAAAAGAATTGAAGAAAATCAACTCCTCCACGACCTACCTCTCGATGACCTAAACGAAGAATGCTCCAGGAGAAAAAATCGCTTTTGTTCTTTAGATTCAAACGTGAGAACGACGAAGACGTATGCCAGGAAGGTAAACTCCGGGCCCCGCGACTTACGGAACGCCCTTTTTTTGGCCTTTAACCATTTTAAATATTTAATTATTTAGAACAACTGTGGGAGAAATTCTTTGAAAATGGATTTTTTAATTTTCAAAATATTTGTATCGTTCCATTTAAATTTTTAAAAAAATTATAGACAATTTAAATATTCTTTAAGTTTAAAATTTTAATAGATATATAATTAAAAATTAAAAATTAAAAATTTTCATCTATTTTCCCTTTTTTTTTTTTTTTTTTTACT